TGGCTAGTGTCAAGCTAATGTAGCTCTTGCCCTCTTTCAAGCCTTGGGCCACGTCGATCAAGCAAATGCTAGACCCTCCAAAACCAGGGGCAAGCAGAAAATGAGCCAACATACACAAACAAAGGACATGCTGTCGAAAACTCTGCCCAAGACGGTTGCCGCGGTTGTCGACGTCAGAAAATCGATGAATCAAACTGGGAATATCCAGTTCCCCGTTGCAAACCAAGGATCGAGCTTCATGTAAAGTGAGCCCATACATCCTTTCTAAAGCTCGGATGTGACTACAACAAGATTGGGGCAAGATTTCCTCGTCACGCCAGGATTCCATCAGAACTTGGAATTCTTCAATTGTAGGGCATATCTCTTGCCCCCCAAAGTTGAAAACATGTGTAACTGGGTTTCAACACCTAGACACGGCATGTAGGAACGGAAAACACAGCGGAGAACGACTCAGCAAGAATAGTGCATTTATGTCGAAACCCCAAGAATTCAGCTTTTCTAAGCCATCTAAAGTTGCAATCCAATCGGAGAGTTTTCGGCAAAGAATGGCTCAATTTGAGGGAAAAACAGAGTTGGAATGAAGAAATCACGAATTTACAACTTTTGTAGAAGATAAGGCAGTGAGTGAAGGCCAGGTATCAATATTTTGGAGGTTCAGCACATTAATGGCCAACAGAGGTCCATTGATGGCCGGCAGAGGCACATTAATGGCCGACATGCCACCTCTCATGGCTAACAGCCTTCTTTTTGTGTCTACTGCCCTCTTTTGTGAAGATTCAATTGTACGCAGTTGTAGACACCCCATTTTTGACCGTCCTAAAGACTTGGACGTCATCGATTGAGTGCTCAATGATTACGCATGTTTGCGCTCGTTTGGAGTCCCCGGGGTTGTCGGCTGCGCGCCATGCCTTTGATTCTCTGAACTTTCTTGGTTTTGTGCTTGTTCTAAGCTAACCCTTGTTACCCTTTGCCTGGAGGGTGGAACAGGGGTGTAGAACAGTTCCCCTCCCCCTGTAGACCACTTTTCTTCCTTGCCAACCATTTTTGGTGGTTGGTCAGCTAGGGTGGGTGGTCTGTGGACCACCTAAGGTGGTCGACGGCTTGCCACCACCTTCTACTCTCTCTGTAGACCCTCTTCCGTCCTTGCCGACTAGTTTTATTCCTTGTAGACCACTTTTGGTGGTCGGTCGACTAGAGGAGGTGGTCGGTCGACCACTTCAAATGGTCGGCGGCCTTTCTGCACTTTCTGCAGATATTTTCCTTGCCAGCTGTTGGGCACAAAAGGCATCCTCCATACATGTGTATGGAGGGATTGCACCAAGCCTCTAGCTTGTCTAACAAGCTTGAGGCATGAATTATATATAAGGGAGCTTCCTCCCTCCTGTTCAAGGTTCAGAAAATTTGGATTAGGGCTATACATATCCCTCTCTCTCTATATTTGTGCTTTTTTGTGCCTTAAAGTGAGTTTTGTTCACACTTTTGCACTAAACACCTTGTGAAACACCTTCAGTCTTGAGCTGAGGTTCTTGGAGGTTGCATTTGAGTGTTTTGGCATGGTTTTTCCTCAGAAGTGGTTGTTCTTATTGTTCTTCAAGGGTGAGTCCTATTCTCCCTTTTAAAGCTTTGTTTTGATTGCATACTTAGCTACCTTTACATGCTTCTTTTGACTTAACTTTCAACTGCAAAAACCTTTGTTTTAAAGTTTTTTAAAAGGTTGTTTGAGGCCTTGCTTGAGTTTGGGGTGTCTCTCACTCTTTTGTGCTTTATTTGCTTAACTTCTTGCTATCTTTTAAAGCTATTGGGACCACCTCTTTTTGGATTTCTTACCATTGAAACTCAGAGGAATTTCAGTGGTAGAAAGGTAGTTTTAAGGTTCCAAATAGGAGGGGGTCATCCCCTCTCCTTGTGTCTTGGTTGCTTGTGTTGATGGCCTCATGTTTGAGCATGTTTTTCTAGCATGTGTTGGCTTGTTCTCAGCTTATTTTTGGCATTATTTTAGCATGGCATAACTCTGTTTTGGCCTGGTTGTGTCACCTTATGCATGCTTTTTGCACTTGTAGTGTAATCTTTCCATTTGTCCTTACATGCTTGCCACTTGGCTCATCATTCCAGCCTATTTTGATTACACTCCAGCATGTTTTTGCTCATATTTTAGCATGCTTGAACTCTGTTTTGAGTGGTTTAAGCCATGGGAGGCTTGCTTTGTATAGCCATAGTGCAATCTTGCTCACTAGCTTTGAGTTTCCAAGTCTCTAGCATGCTTTACTTGAGTTGTTTGTATGCTTTGGTCTGATTTCTCACATGATTTTAGTGTATGAAGTGTTGTCATACTCTCACATGTTTCACTCTTTCAATGCTTTTGGAGAGTTGTGCCTTATGCCTTGATCATGAGCTAATATGTATGCATGCTTGCCTAAGCTTTTGGGCTATCATCTCAGCATGTTTTTGCTGTTATTTTACCATGTTACAACTCTAATTTTTGTTGGTGAAGTCACCTCATGCTTGGTTTTGGTATGTGTAGTGTAATCCCACTCATTGGCCTTGCATGCGTCATGTTTTATGCCTCCCATTCTAGCATGTGTTAGCTCTACTCCATGCATGTTTTGGCATTGTTTTGACCTGCCTTGGGACTGTTTTGATGGCCTTGCATGCGTCATGCTTTATGCCTCCCATTCTAGCATGTGTTAGCTCTACTCCATGCATGTTTTGGCATTGTTTTGACCTGCCTTGGGACTGTTTTGAGTCATCTTGGCCCTTTGGGGCTTGCTTGATATGGCTATGGTGCAAGTACCCTAGCTAGTCTTGAGTTTTGAGCACCTTACTATGCTATATTTGTGATGGTTGCATGTTTGGGCATCGTTTAACATGTTATTTCAGAGCATGTATGTGTGTCATGTTCTCATTTCTTTCATTCCTTGAGAGCTTTTGAGAGTTGTGTCTTTGTGCATTGTTAATGAGCCATCAAATGAGCATGTTCTCCTTGTGTTGTATGCTTTGATCTTAACATATTTTAGCCACTATTTTGGCATGTTCGACCTCTGTCCGGGGTTGGTTTGACCATTTGAGATTGATAGTGCATGCCTTGTGTGTAATATGTTTCATTAGCTTTGATGCCTTAGCTTTTAAACATGCCATGCATGCATTGCTTACATGATAGAGTCTTGCACATATCACTTTAGCATTGAAGGTTGATCATCTTGTTTGCGTTGCATGTGTTTGGATTGGACGTTAATCCAAACACGAGGAATGTCACACGTTTCATACTCAAAGTGATGAAACGTGTAGCATTCCTTAGTCGTCGACCCTTTTGATCAAGCATGATAAAGGTGGAGGCCTTTATGTGTTATTTGTGCATTCATTGACATTGACTTGTGCAAACTTGGCTTCTCGGCCATCGTGCATTGCGATGCTCGGTTGGTGGCCCGAGAGTCGAGTACCGCACTCCCTTGAGTTTGAGAAACGATAGGGAAGGTGGTTGTGCACACATATCTTGCAAATACATTGCTATGCCCCTTGTTGTTCTCTGTTGCAGCAAAACTAGAGTTTGGCAAATTTTCTGGTCGGTCGACCAGTAAGGGTGGTCGACCGACCACTTTTTTTGGTCTATGTAGACACCCCATTTTTGACCGACCTTAAGACTCAGACGTCACCGATTGAGCGCTTGGTGATGTTGCATATCGTGCTCGTTCAGAAGTCTCAGAGTCGCGGCCGCGAGCCCTGCCTCCAGACTTCCGAACCATCTTCTGTGCCTTGTCTCGGTTTGCGAACCAGACTCGGTTTTCTCTGTTTCTTTTTCCGAGGGAAGGGAGAGGTCCCGTAGACCATCTCTCAATGTCCGTAGGCTACATTTGGTGGCCGTAGGCCATTTTGCCCATTTCGGAGTCCGGTTCCCGGTTTTCGGAGCCGTCAGGCCATGTGCCTCGGTTCGGGACCGCTTAACCATCTCCTATTGCTCTGATTTTTGGCATACATCTTATTTCATCCCTTTTGAGGGACACTGGGGGCTAAGAAACCCACTTCGAGGTCGAATACCATTTTCGGTGCTTAACAGCCCATTTTCTTGGAATTTTAACCACATGGTTGTGTTATACACACATAGGGGTACCTCTCCAGTAGCTGGCCGGCCAGAAAATCACATTGACCCTTTTGACCCCTAGCCGGCCGGCTAGGTGGTGTGGCCGGCCGGCCACCTCCAGCAAAAGTATTAGGTCGGCCGTGTTCCTCGCACTGTGCACTTTACAGCTGTGGGGCAATATCCCCCAGATATTTTCTGTATCCGGGGGATATTTTGTGGGGGAGTTTTCCTCTCCATCTCCCCCACCTTTTACACCCCCTTTTGGCCCTTTTAACCAGCTGATGGCCTCCTCTACAAGGGTTAGAAAAATTATCCTTCAAAGCTCCATAGCCAACTCCATACCAGTGCTCACCACCTCTTCCTGGTACAAAACTTGCTCGCTTTGATTCAAGTTGAGCTTGAAGTGGCTCAAGATATCGGCATCGAGCATCCTGCTCCGTTCCGTACCCCCCACAATTGGAATTGCGGGGTTTGAAGCAGCGAACCGTATCAGACTGAGCATTACATTGGGATGTTGCGACATTCGTCGAGCATATGCTAGTGCTTCGCGATCATCGGCGCCCCCAAAGAAGAGCACCGCAACTCGATATGACGAAGGATCGGCTATTATGTATCGATCATAGTTTGGAAATCGTTCTAAACACAGCCTTAAATATTCTGTTGAATTATTCTTTCTGTATAAACAATGGATCCAACATATATTTTTTTCTGCAATAAATTGAACGCTGAAGTTTGGTGAGCAAAGAAGGTTGGTAAACATTACTGTCAACTGTCAAATATTGTACAAATAAAACTCACCATGACCATTAAATTTGTTCTTCCTTCTTGTCAATCATCTAATTGAATCTATATAAATTGAAAAAGAAAATATTTGCACACACCATGTTTATAGAATGGTGGTTGTTCAATTTGTTCTACATTTTTCTTTTTTTGTTGTCGTTTACAATATTGCCTCTTGAATGTATAATAATCTAAGATAATTCACCTACAAACTAATTTTTCTCAAGTGTGTTGACTCCTCTGGATCCTGCAATCCCCATAGTCTGGTCTGCTGCTGCATAACCAATGCCGAAGCGCTGCATTCAAAATCTGAGGAAGCAAGTATTTCACCGATTGACCCCAATTCCCCACGCTGTTTCCACTTCCCGAGCTGAAGCATGATGTTCGAGTCTCCGTGGCGTCTGCCCACCATGACAAGGTCATAACCATTCTCCAACACTGCTCTAGTCACCCTGAGCACATCCATACCGGTGCTCACCACCTCTTCCTGGTACAAAACTTGCTCGCTTTGATTCAAGTTGAGCTTGAAGTGGCTCAAGATATCGGCATCGAGCATCCTGCTCCGTTCCGTACCCCCCACAATTGGAATTGCGGGGTTTGAAGCAGCGAACCGTATCAGACTGAGCATTACATTGGGATGTTGCGACATTCGTCGAGCATATGCTAGTGCTTCGCGATCATCGGCGCCCCCAAAGAAGAGCACCGCAACTCGGTATGACGAAGGATCGGCTATTATGTATCGGGACTTGCGGTTACCCCGGTCTATGAGGATTCCAACCGAACAAGGGGACCTGTCGAGTACATTCTTGTTCAGGTGCCTAAATGCATATGAGGTCTCTACCCTTTGCCCGTAGACCCATAGCTTGTGGAACGGTACAATAATGAGAGTCGTTCGCTTTTCTAGAGCAAGAGAGCACACGTCGTTGTGCATTGTTGCATAAGGCGAAATGCCCTTGTAGCAGTGGACAAAGAGGCGGCCATTGCTCTGTAGTTCGAGCTTTTTGAAGGCATTGAAGATTCGTTCAGAGATGGTAGGGGTGGGAGAAGGCTTCTCACGTTCCCGGTGTGCAATGAGCAGGGACGAGGAACGGCCCATGAGCTTAACGAGGTGGAGGACAACTAAATTTACAGGGAACTCTGATCTGGGAGAACTGGATACTTGAAGAAGGGTCATGATCGCTTGTACATTTTCTTGGCCATGGACACAAGCTAGTACCCGGAGTTCATCGTTGTGCCTGAGGTGTAGAATAGTCCTCCTCTTGTAAGCAACGTACCTTTTCGAAGGGTCATACAAGACTTTCACAAGAGGAGAGATTACCCCCGTCACTAGCACCACTGAGATTATCATTATGGTATAGCATTCTTCATTTATGATCTGCATATGTAATTACAAGACTGTTTGATGAGAGTGAAAATGATAGAAACTGAAGTGACATAAAGGGATTTAAACAGAAAATTTCTTCTCTAATATATGGATTTGGTTAATATGAAATTTTTGTTTCCCTCATTTTTCACCACTTTCATACCAACGAAACTCTGAGAATGTGAAAAAGTGGAGAAGAAGATAGCCTACTTTGGATTGCTTCCAATCATTCAATAAAGCAAGTTCAACAATGCCTTTGGAGTTCATGATGAGGCCAAGAGAGAGGGCATCTCGGAATGGCATCCTGCAGAAGAGCGGGGGTAACATTGTCCCCATAATCTTTCCAATGAAAGCAGCTAAAACAACCAACAGCATAACACCCGCATTTCTCAGTTTCTCTATAGCGAAAACATCCATCTGTAGCCCACAGATTGTGAAAAAGAGTGGCATCAACAGAACCGAAACAAAACAATCCAGCCTCTCCACTAATGCAGCTCCTAATGGTGGCCCATCCGGTATCACCAAACCAATAGCTAGAGCTGCCATAATGGAACTCAGGCCAAGAATTTCACCCACAAGTCCACAGCACATTAATGTTACAAGCACCGCAGAGATATATCTCTCCTTAACAGGTCTCCCTTCTGGGGTATGTCTGATTATCCACAAAGCTGCTGGACGGACTCCAAACACAATAACAACTATATAGAGGACAGCTGATAGAAACGACCCAACTGATAATTTAAATGATTTCGCCATAGCTAGCTTCGCCGCGTACTTCACTGACATGATGGTCCAGTGACATATATCACAGATTATTGAGGATGAAGAGGCTAATCGTCCAATCTCTGAATTAAGGATCTTGAGGTCGTCGAGAAAGCAGGCCATAACAGGGAAGGCTGTCATGGACAGCATGATTATCAAAGAGGGAAGCACACTGGAGATCTCGTGGTCCAAAGATAGGAATTGCTGGAGAAGGAAGGCAACAAAACTGGCCAGTCCATAAGGAATGAAAAAACCTAGTATTCCTATAGCTAAAGTTTTTTTGCCTGATCTTAAGACCATGCTCGGATCCATTTTCACTCCAATTAGGAAGATGAACAGCGTGAATCCGAAAATTGAGAGCGTATCAAGTATATTTTTGCCTTTCTTGGGGAATAATTTTGTTGAGAATGAAGTATTTTGGCCAAGAATAGACGGACCCAATACAACACCACCCTGCTCCACACAGATTATAAAACACATACAACAGCAATTAGCAAAGTCCCTCATCAGGTTCTTATAGTTTTAAGTCACACGTCAAGGATTTTTTTTTTCACTTGCAATTTGCAAAATATGTACTGATATGAAACAATAATCACAAGAGGGTCCTCATAGTGGAGACACAAAAACAAAGACCAAGGAAGTTTAGCCATTAGAATGATCTAGAGCTTAACTATGCAAGAATAATAGTAATTAAAATTTCTAGTGCAATAAGAATTCAATATTCGCTGCCAGATTATTCAAAATGCGAGGCAGCATTGAGCAGGTTTTGCTAAACCTGGACAAAAAACAAAAACCTATGGTTAACTGAAAGCAGATTGTTACCGTACGAGAATAAGGAACCGAAAATTGATACTCCACGTCCTCAATTGTGGTACCATAGAGGTAGGCTTACAGCATAATTATAATATCATTCAAACTCCAGTTCAAAGTCTCAAACAATGAGGCAGAGTATGAAGCGTGTATTGCTGGACTAGAAGCCGCCCTAGAACTAGGGGCAAAACGGTTAGACGTCATCGGGGACTCAAACCTTGTTGTATCTCAGGCTAAGGGAGATTGGAATGTCAAAGAAGAAAAGATGAGAATTTACCACCAGACCTGGGACTTGCTGATTCGTCAGTTTGAGAAGATGAACTTCGCTCATCTACTAAGAGAGAACAACAGGTTCGCAGATTCACTTGCAACTTTATCCTCTATGATAGACATGACCGGGCGAGAGGGGGTGCTCATAGCTGACCTTCCCCGATCGTACCCAAGCTCCCGAGCCGAGACAACTCCGGTATGACGGACACGTGGCCTTTTGGCACCGAGTCAGGGTTTCCTAAATTTCCCCATTTTAAAATATTTAGGTGGCGACTCTGTATCTGGCAAAGCAGTCCATGTTTGGCACTACTTTTTCAAAAATCTGTTTCTCAAAACGATTTGCCGGATTTGGACTCTTTGGTTCAGATTTAGAACCGTGACTACAAAAGTCGAGTCCGAGCTGTAGCGAGGTCCCTCGCGGGCTTGTCTACAGTCAACAACTAGTTTTTCTGGTCTACAGCCCCTTTTTCTAGTCGGCAGTCCACCATGAGGTCCCCATGTTGGAGCAGAAGCAATCTGGAAGTTAGTGCACTTTTTCGAGATCAAATCAAATGCAAACAGAGGCAATTCTAGGCATAGCAATGGATTTTCGAGCGAGGCGATCGAGCATGCATGCACCCCTCTCCCCGAGGACCTCTTTTAACTACTTTAGTTGCTTTACTTAGTTAGTTAATTCGTCGGTTTTGTACTTAATTAGTTAATGTGCTTAATTAATCGATTTGTTTTGTAATAATTAGTTAACTAGGAATAGTTTAATTAGTTTTGGTTTGTAATAATTAGTTTAATTAGCGTAGGTAGTTAGCTTATTATTCGGACCCTCCGTCGAGAGGGCAATTGCTGTAATAAGTGTGCGTGTGTGTGATGCATGTCTTCCAACCCCATTTCTTTCTCCCTTTTTTACTTATCAGCTTTCGATGGTTAGTTTAGGGCATGTTTCAATTAGCATACTTATGCTTTGCATGCGTGTATCATTCATTCGTCTTGCATGCACTGGGCTAGGCGCATCATTCAAACTGCATTGTACTTTAATACACTTTCTTGAATACGTGTTTCAAAACATGTTATCAAGTGTTGCGTTCATATGTCATTCTAGATAGCCGAGCCTATTTTAGTTGCATTTTTATATGTGTTGCATTAGGCATCTTAACATAGCTAGGATCATGCATGGTTTCTAACTAGCTTCTGTATTGGCTCGGAGTACACTGTGAGTGTTTACGCTTTAGCATCCTTGTATGTGTGTAAGTGACTGCCATGATAGCATGCTTGCCACGAGGCTATGTGCTTATGTGTTTAAATGCATGCATGCCTGTGGATGAAGGTTTGATTGCCTGAATTGGAACAACTCGATGATTGTGAGTTTTAGCCCACTTGAAGTGGCAAAATCATATTTTTTTAAGCCCATATGAGGGTGGCAAATCCACGCTTTAGCCTACTTGCGAGTAGCACTTTCAAACCACTTTCACAAACAAACATGAGTTGTTTTGTTCCAATCCGCGTGATTGAGTCTATACTTGTATGCTGTGCGCATCACATAGTAAGGTTAGCTAATAAACCGGAATAAGAACACATGTGTTTTCAAAAACAACATATCATGTTAGTAGAGGTTGATCTTTGATCGGGCGAGCAGGGGTGCTTATTTCAGGAACTTCCCCTCCCGTACCCAAGTTCCCTAGCTGAGGCAACTTTGGTGATGACGGACACGTGGCCTTAGGCACGAGTTAGGGTTTCTTAAATTTTCTCAAAACAAAATATTTAGGTGGCGACTCTGAAATCTAGCAAAGCAGTCCATGTTTAGCGCTTTTTTTTGATTAAAATCGATTTTCCAAAACGATTTGCCAAATTTGGACTCTTTGGTGATTTATCAGCCTTGCATTGCACTTTGTGAGATTAGATTCAGAACCGTGATAGGAGTCTGAACTGTAGTAGCTAGAACTACAATTCGCGCCCTCACATGCGGAGCGGAGTTCGGGTAGTCTACAGCAGTAGTTTTATTCTGTTATTTGTGTGTTCCAAGGTCTTGTTTTGAGTCCTGTTTCGGCTTAAACATGTTCGTTGAGTTGAATTCATTTTGTTTTGCTTATTGAGTTATATTTATGTTGATTAGCTTGTCGAGTTGTTGTGTTGTTTGTCGAGTTGTTGTTTGGTCTATCGAGTTGTTTTATTTTGTTTGTTAAGTGTTGGTCGATTCATTACCTGATTAAGAAGGTGCCAATACAATGTGCGATTTTCAATCAGTTCAATCTCATTTTTATGCATTGTAGTGCTTGTGCGGTGCTCAGAATGTAAAATACAACACTTTTTCATCAAAAGTAGTTTTTATTTCGATCATGGTTACTTTTTACAAAAGAGTACAAGTTTTTAAAGCAAAATAAAACTTGTCTAAAGCAATACAGAGTTCTAACACCACTAGCAAAAAGAAATGAAGCAAAAACACATAAATCAGCATTATCCATCTCACGATCTAGAGGCCCTCTTCATCCTCTTCCTCGGCAGAGTGGACTCTGCGGCACTGTCTCCATCAGCGTCACTGTCTAAACCTGAACCGGAGTCTGAATTGGAGCCATCTCCATTCCCTGCCTCGGAGTCCTCTTCAGCCTCAGCAGCCTCACCACTAACAGAATCTGAGCAGACGTCATCGTCTGCACTCTCAAATGAATCAGTATGCTGACTCGCCAGCTCCTCGGTCTCACTGGTCTCAGTATCATCGTCACCCAGAATAAGCTCTGAAGGGCCACTCCCAGCTCGGGCACTCCTAGCTCGGGTGCTCCTAGCTCGGCCTCAAAGTCTGCCTCGAAAGCTACTGGAGGAAGCTCTAAGGGAATCCCATCATGAGGAAGATCATCCGCCATCTAGAAAGGAGATGAGAAAGTGGGCGAAAATGAGGGAAATGGGTGGAGAATGCCGAAAGTCAACAAAAGTCAAGCCTAAGAGAGAGAAAATGACAGAAAAAATCAAAGTCAGGAAAAGTGCACAGAACTCGAGAGAAACTCGAGGGGAATGAGCCTAGAATGGTGGAAATGGGAAAAGAGGCATCGAAATCAAATTCCAATCGGTTCAAAGTGAAGAGAACTAGGAGGATTTAGCGAATAAAGTTTGTGTGGGGTGTTGGAAAACGCGTAAAAAGCACGAATCTAGAGAGAAGGAGCACCTAGAGAGAAAGGGAGGTGATTTTCAAGCAAGGGTTTGTAAGGAAATGAAGCTTAGAGTTGTATACTTTTAAAGACCCAAACCGTTTTGACCAAAAAACCCTCGGTCTGCCATCGATGGCTGGCAAGGCACGCCAGTGGTGGGCAGGTGGCCGGTGGCTCCCTCTTGTGGTCGGCAGGTATCCATGGGTCTCCTATGTGTTCTTGGTTCTGTTTGTGTTCTTAGAGTTCAAGAAGTGGAGGGAATATTAAGTGTTTGGTTCAGAATGTCTTTGCGAGGGCTCAGAATTGTGTTTCCAAGGTACGACATTCGTTGCTCATTGACATAAATGAAGTATATCCTTTTTAAAACATGTTACAACTCTTCCGAGAGGTAAATCGGAAGTTACAACTGAGTTGTTTTTATTAAGCACACCTTTTGTTATTGCATAGGGCATGCATCTCTTTGTCGTCGCATAGAACGTGCCCTTTTACATGAGATCTTACATAGGCTGTGCACTCCTCGCATTTGCCTAGAATATGCCTCTGTGTCCCATTCACATAGAGCATGCATTTGGTGTTTTGCATAGAACATGCTGTTGATCTCGCGTGTTTTGTACTATTGCATAGAATGTGCATTCCGAAGTTGCATAGTCCATGTTCTAGTTCTCGTTGCACAGAATATACTCCTATTTCGTTTCTCGCATGTGTTGCGTGTCCCTAACATTGTACCATGATTATTCACCTTGCATAGAACATGCGTTTTTGTACTTTTTCATAAAATATGCTTGTCTCTCACATAGAACATGCTTTTAATCTCTTGCATAGAACATGTTTTTAATCTCCTGCATAGAACATGCTCTTGCATAGAACATGCTGTCACTACATTTGCATAGAACATGCATTTTTTTGTGTTATGCCTGTTGAATTGCTGCTTATACAGGCGTGATATTGTATGTGTGGTTTATTCAGAGAAATTCCAGGTGAGATCATCCTGGTCCTCCGATTTCCACTACTTTCTCCTCTCGCGTGCGGCGCGTTAGGACACTTCGGTTAAAAACATTCGAGTACGCTCGGTGTTTACACCACTCCCTTTCTCCTCTCGCGTGCGGTGCATTAGGACGCTTTGGTTAGAAACATTCGAGTACGCCCAGTGTTTACACCACTCTCTTTCTTCTCTCGCGTACGACGCGTTAGGATGCTTTCAGTAGAAACATTCGAGTACGCCCGGTGTTTACACCACCCCATTTTCTCCTTTCGTGTGCGACGCGTTAGGACGCTTTTGGTTTAGAGGCACTTAGGTGCGCCCCGGTGTTCTGGTTGCCTTTTCTGTTCTCGCGTGTGGAACGCGTTATTCTTTTCTTGATGTCCACACTATTCTTTTCCCCTTGCGTATGGAACGCGTTGTGATCTTGTGTGCCACTTCGGGTACGCCAGATGGATTGTGTTATTCTTTGCCCTTCCTGCGCATCGCGTAGTTAAGTTTGCATAATTTTCTTATATCCTTCATGCATGAAATGTGGTTGGTTCGTATTTACTTACTTCTTTTTATGCATGAGATTATTGTAGCATTTCTTTTCATAACACTTGCAT